GTCAACATCCTCCTCTCCCCTCCAACAGCATCAAGCTCCAATGGGACTAATTTTTCTTCTCTTTCACATCAAATCCTTCTGTGGAACACTTACACCAGCAAACCTTTTGCCCTAATGCTTTATCTTTAATCATTCTGCCATTTCTTGTTTATCTATTACAATATGTTGTTACGTTATAACGCTGCTGATGCTTTTGAGAAAGCACGCAGGATCACCCTTGAGGAGAAAAGACAACGCAGAAAGATTCGTGCCTTGCAGAATATACCATCTAAGGAGTCTTTCTGCTGTGCCTTTTGCAACCGGGCGTGCCTATCTCGTACTGGCCTTTTTAGCCACCAACACGCTTGCAACAAACGTGGGTAGAGCCCTTCCCAAATCTTCGTTCGCGAAGCCTAGCCATGGCATTGCAATATGTTGTACTGTTTCAAAGACAGCATACCCTATGTATTTTACAGGCATTTTCAACTTCTGCAGTTCACAAACTACCTTCTGTAATCTTCTGCAAGTCAAAGTTACCTGTAAATATTTAGTGTACCAATGGAAAAAATGAGTCTTTAAAAACATTTTAAAAATCAAACAGCTGTTTTATTTCATAGTAACTGTCAGAAATCAATCTCAATCTCAATATCTCTCTCTGATAAACACGTCAAGATGATTATAAATTGCTCTTCATGCACACTTGCGGTGGGTTGAACTTGGCTGGTCACCAGGTGCCCACCAAACCGCTCTATCACTCCCACTCCTCATCAGGACAAAGGAGAGAAAATGTGATGAAAAGCTCATAGGTCAAGATGAGGACAGGGAGATCACTCAGCAATTACCGTCATGGGCAAAACAGACTCGACTTGGGGAAGATTAATTTATTTCCAATTAATCACAGAGTACGATAATGAGAATTAAGAACAAAGCTAAAAACACCTTCCCTCCACCCCTCCCTTCTTCCCAGGCTCATGACTCTTCTACCTCCTCCCCCACTGAGCGATGCAGAGAGGTTGAGGAACGGGGGATGTGGTCGGTTCATAATGCTTTGTCTCTGCCCTCCTTCCTCCTCATGCTGTTGTTCTGCTCCAGCATGGGGTCCCTCCCATGGGATACAGCCCTTCACGAACTGCTCCAATGTGAGTACTTTCCACGGGCTGCAGTTCTTCATGAACTGCTCCAGCATGGGTCCTTCCATGGGGTGCAATCCTTCAGGAACGGACTGCTCCAGCGTGGGTCCCCTGCAGGGCCACAGGTCCTGCCAGAAAACCTGCTCCGGTGTGGGCTCCTCTCCACAGCCTGCAGTTCCTGCCAGGAGCCTGCTCTGGTGTGGGCTCTCCATGGGTTGCAGTGTGGATATCTGCTCCAATATGGGGTCCTCTGTGGACTGCAGGGGGACAACCTACTTCACCATGGTTGACTTCACAGTCTACAGGGGAATCTCTGCTCTGGCCCCTGGAGCACCTCCTCCCCCTCCTTCTTCACTGACCTTGGTGTCTGCAGAGTTGTTTCTCTCACTTTTTTAGTTTTGTCTTTGTTTCTCGCTGTCCTACTTTAATTTAATTGGAAATAAATTAAATTCTTCTTCCCCAAGTCAAGTCTGTTTTGCCCATGACAGTAATTGCTGAGGGATCTCCCTGTCCTTATGTTGACTCACGAGGTTTTTAATTGTATTTTCTCTCCCCTCTTGTGCTGAGAAGGGGGAGTGAGAGAGCGATTGGATGGGCACCTGGCAGCCAGCCAAGGTCAACCCACCCCATAAAATGCTTCTTCTGTCTCAGGTATGGGAAATATTTTGAAATCATAATGTCACTGTTAACATTTTCAGAACATGATTAGTCTTGCCATAACATAACTGAACACTAAGCATCTAGTGATCTACTATAACAAACTGCATTTCACAATTCTGGAAATGTTAAGAATAAAAGCAGCGATGTTGACATAATATCTACATTCAGCTTGTAAGATAAGCTATTTTCCTTCATAACAAATTGAGAAGTAAAGCAATGAATAACTTCCAAAAGTAACCTGACCATAACAGGT